GTTTAAATATCTCTTGAAAACGTGAAGTTACGCACTTTGGCAGGAAAAATAGAAGAGTTAAATATTATTTAGATGGAGAAGGAATACAGGATGCTGCAGCGCAGAGGGATTTGGTGGCTCTCATGCATGAATTACAAAAGCTAGAATCCATGTTCAGTGAGTAATAGAGAAGGCAAATTGATTGTTGGCCTTCATTTCAAAAGAAATGGAGAATATAAGTAGGCAGGTTTTGCTAAAATTATACCAGGCACTAGTTGTGGTCTGGCTAGAATACTGTGAACAGTTTTCTCCCTTTACATAAGGAAAGATATATCAGCATCGGGGAAGTCCAGAGAAGTTATAATGGTTGATTCTGGGGTATGGAGGGATTTTAAAGGGGAAACCAGAACCAGAGGACAAAAATCACTCTCATGGCTTGATGTAACTTTTACTTGTAGTCTAGGGGTATTTGCCAAAATCTGCCGACTGTATCAAATCTACTGCTGCCTAGTTTTGCTGGACTGTTATCCTCTGGAAAAAAAAGTGGAGTTCTCCCCAAGCCACTTTGTTCAAAAGCATTAGGGATACACATAAACTGAGGCTCCCTGGGGTTGGGAATTGTTACCAGCCCAATCGAATTAGCATCAAGGGAAAGCTACAGACAACACTTTAGTACAACAGAAAGTATATATTGGATGCTTGTATAGATTTTAAATTTATAAAGGAAAGGGAGAAGTTAAGCAGCAATCATCTAGGAATCACTTCAGAAAAGATACGCCAAAATTAATTACTGATCTAGGAAGACTTAAGATCAAGTATAGCATTATTTTGTAAAGATACATTAAACCTATATATCATTACACACCTAGAAAGCTATCACATTAATGAACCAAGTGCAGCTTCAGTGAAAAAAGATGACCAGGATGAGTTTCATCTCTCCTAGCATTATGACTAGAGTGGTGTTCTGGAATAATTTCAGTTCCTGTATCTAAAGGTACTTCTTGCGCTTGTGGAGACTAAACTTGATTTAATGCGATCATAACAAGAAGATGCCCTCAGTGGGCTAAAACTTGGCACCTTTGTCAAAAAATACTACGTTTACAAAATTGGATGTAAGCTTTTAAAAAAAAACAAAGAACTGCAGATGCTGACAATCAGAAACACAAATGGAAATTGCCATAAAAACTCAGCAGTCAGCAGCATCTTTGGAGAGAAGGTCAAGTTAACTACATGGCCCGGTCTGGAAGGGTCCTCCACTATTTTCCAGACAGAGTTTGTTCCATTTTCCTAATGTACTGTGCTCTGTACAGGCAATTGGAGTAGGTAATGAGGCAATGTTTTCAATGCAGTGGAACTGGGATATTGAGATCAGTCTTCCAAGGAGGAGGATGAAGATATTTTGGAGGACGAAGCTCATTGTCCATGACAGAGCTCAACAGCATTGGGTGCTACAAGTCAGACAGAACCTGACTGCTATCCATTTCCAATTGTTGAGAGCTGGGTGCAGCAGACAATTATGGACTGTAAAGTAGTCATTTATCATGATGCTGAATTTTGGTTTGTATTGGCAGGTTGAACTTCAGCTGCTATTTTTGTTATCTCTATTCATTTTGGCATTTTTGTAAACAAAAGCTCATTTTTGGAACTGTCCAATTGCTTGCCTGTATGTGATGTTTCCCTGCTGGACAAAAACAAGCTCTGGGTCTACAGTGGGCTTTGGGGACAGGGCAGCAGTGATTTAGACAGGGTGTTCTGATGGGATATAGCTATGGACAGGGAATGCTGTGGTGTGGTAGTGAAACTTCCACTCTGGTGAGAGAACTGGGTTGAATGTGCAAGTGAGTGCCAGCGATGTTGGTTATGTGTGGTGGGCAGCATGGTTTTGAGGCAACTGTGCCATGACATAGCTGTCAAGAGGTAGTGGATATTAATCTTTTGGCAGATTTCCACTGAGTGGCAAGCTGTTCCAGAAATGGCTTGTGGTAAGTTAGGACTGGAATCAGATGTGAGAGAGACACAATTGGGGCAGGGTTGGTAGTTAATTGGGCAAGTTTGGTAAGATATAGCAAGAGAATTTGCTAAGGCTCAGGGTGAAAAGCCTTCAAAGAAACCCAACGCAACACTTGCTTTGCCAAAATAAAAGATTCAGCCCCTTATTTCCATTCGCCAATATCAGACATATATTTGGATGAACCAGATAATGACCCAGAATTTTATAAAAGACCAGAAACTAGAAACCTCAGTGAAGGCCATCGAGTCAAGAAACAGGAATTCAGAAAAAGGTGTCCAATCTTCTAAGCCTGACAAGAACACAATGAAACTGAATCTGTAATGTAAGAGGCATGGAGAGAGGATGGAGTGGTAGGTAAAAATGAATGGTTAAAAAATGGGCAAAGACTTGTCAAGAGACGTATAATTAGGGCTTGTCTGATACTCAGTATTTAGCACCTACCATAATAATGATGTAAAAGAGCACATGAGAGAGAGACTGGAGTGAATTTGTTCATGGTTTCAGAAGAGTTAAGCATACTCCTGGAAAGTGGTATGTATTTCCTTAATACATAATAGACTACTTCCTGTTTAAACCTACTGAAGGCTTAACATTCTCTCCAAAGATAGGCTAACAGACAACACCCAATATTCCCCAGTCACAGCAGTAATGCATGAAATCACAGTTTGTCTAACTAGTAAAGGAGATAACAAACTAAAACGTAAAATGAAGTAGCTGAGCATTTCAATATTTACTAAAGAAATGAAGCACCAAGATTATTGGTCACAAAGCAAAATTATGGCAAGGACAGCAATCTGTTTTCTGGAAGTAAATTACGTAGAACAATTGCAGAAGTTGTTGGCCTTCAGCACTTGTCTTACCTTGTTCCTCGGGCTTAATGTTTACCTGATATAACCTTGAATTAAATAGGAATGCTGAAGTTCTGGGGTGAAGGTGTCCTTATAAGTAGCAAAGAGTGAGCAACCATAAATTGGGGAGTGGTTTTGCACTTTGCCAACTTGACTTCAGCGGAACAGTAAGTTAGACAGGCTGGTCACTCACATCACCAAACTACCACTAAAGACAAATTTCAATTCCCTAATGTCTGACTGGAATATGAAGAGCATCTCAAATATATGAAGAAAGGTTGAGGGAGCAGACCTGAAACATCTTGACTAATAAAGAAAACAACAAATATTTTCTTATTTGCTGTCCTCTTTTAGGTTTTGACATTTTATACACTAGAATCAGAGAAACTCAAAAATTAATCCATGAAAGATTCATCATACATCCTCTTGATTTAACAGCCTGACCTATGAAAATGTCACTTGAGACCAAGTAATTTTTTTTCAAACAAATTCATTATAGATGGTAGTTTAGAAATATTTTGTGAAAGGAATGCTCTAGCTTAATAGTTTCAAGCAGAATTATAAAGGATGCAATAATAACAGACAATACATATGCAAATATCTCAATTTAAAATCATTTATTTTTGATTTGCCATATAGATCTGAATATATATATATGTTTCAGTCTCTAGACCGACTTCATTTCTATCTTGTTAATGCATATGAAACTTTCAGAAGACAAGGTTGAAGCAGATGATAAACCGTTTTGCCTCTCTAAGTTGTTACTTTGCTGCAAATAGCCTGGGGGAAATCAACTCTGCGATTGGTCGTTGTACATTTGATTTTCAGCTTTATTTCCAATAGGATTAAAGTCCCATTATAACAGTGTAATAATGGCTTATTGGCCGAGTAGGAATATCTGCCAAATGGTGTGGTAAGAAGCCATGCAAATAATCAAAGTGCCTTGTTTGTGAAGGAGTGATTTTACCCCTACTCCTCACAAACTGATGGATTCAAGATAAGTTCACTTAACAAACTGAAATGTTTTAAAACATTTTCTTCGGTTTGCTGAACTCAATGCTCCACCTATGATATTGTGTAATTTTTAAAACTATTTGTTCACAGAATGTGGGCATTGGTAACAAAGACAGAATTTATTGTCAAACACCAGTCGCGCCTGATGATGGGCAGTGATAATCTGCTTTCTTGAATTACTGCACTCCACATGATGTAGCTGCAACCACAGTGTTGTTAGGGTGCATGTTCCAGGATTTCGACCCAATTGCTGTAATATTTCTGGGCCAGGACGGCCATGACACCTCCTGGTGTCCTTAGTCAATGTTGAGGACACCCAAGCCACTCTCTCCTGGCTATATACCACTGTGCCGCCACCTCTGCTGGACCTGTCATAACAGTGGGATAGGACATGCTCAGAGATGATGATGGCTGTCTCTGATTTTAATCTCAAGCCTACATTCCTGCATACCGCTGATAACCTTACATCCTCTTAGTAAACACAAATCTGCCTCTTCCTTCAAAATATTTAAAGCTCCACTTCCTTTTGAGGAAGGGAATTCCAAAGACTCTCAACCCTTTGAGAGAAAAATGTTTTCCTCATCTCTGTCTTAAATGGGCGACCATTACTTTTAAAATATGACCCAAGGACTCTACTTCCACCATCTTTTCATGAAGACAGTTCCAAAGACCCAGGATCCTTTAAAAGTTTTGTTTTGGGTCTAGCCTCTTTTTCAAATGGACAAGCCCGATCTTTGAAATGCTTAGGGTGCTGAGATTTAATCAAGTTCTCTTTTACTCTTCTAAATCTCAGTGGATACAAACCTAGCCTGACCAACCTTTCTTTATAAGACAACCTACACATTCCAAATATTAGAGTGATAAATTTCTGTGAACTATCTCTAATGCATTCAATTCCTTCCTTGAATAAGATGACCAATACCAAGCACAGTACCTTTTCTGCAGTTTGACATATTAGTTGCCTGTTATGTTGATTTTAGTTTATTTGTTATGGGAAAAGTCTCAAAATGTGAAATCATCCAACGTGATTCTCTCTCTTGGCCGCAGGGAAATTCATATCTTTTAAAAATTGACAATTTCTATAAGCATCATAACATATTTGATAGACTCCAATATTTGTTTTCAAGCCACAAGGAGTCAGTTCTTACCTAGGCCATGCCTGTGTGTAGACATTGGCGGCATTATGGACCAGACCTTGGCTGTTGGATTGTAGCATTCTACAGTGTTGGATGTTTTTAATCCATCTCTCCCACCAACCACATACAGCTTGCTATCAATCACTGCCACGCCAAACTGTAGACGTCTTCCATTCATTGTGCCTACTTGCATCCAATTGTTTGTCCTGAGATCATATTTTTCTACTGTTGTAGCCCCTGTAGGGATGTATAGTGGTATATCAGAGATATGTTGACTATGTAGGTTGCAACATTGTAAGTTTAGAAGGTATAAATTCAGCAGAATTATCAATCGCTATCTTTAAAAAGAACAATACTGAGTTGCTAGACTTTCAGATGCTTTGTTTATACTATTTATTGTCTAAAGTAATAATTCATCCACAAACGTACAGTCACAGATTGGCATAAAATGTAGAGATTAGTGTGTTACAATGAACCATATAACAACATAATTCTGCAAATCAAAGTGGCAAAATGTGTTTCCTCCTTGAAATTCCCGTACGAGGTTTAAAACTAACTGTGGTTCATTGAGGAAACATAGAATGACTGTCAAAGGTTCATGGGAGAAAAGGACAAGATATTCCAAGTCACCATCATGGACTTCCTTGAAATTAAGTAAGGAATAACTTTGGTGAGAACTGTAAATCCAGTTCTATCATCTCAACTAAGGAAGGTTCACGAAAAATTACATAAGGATGGAGGGAAAGCATAAAACATTTAAAATAGCAGCGAGGTGTGTTTTGTCCAAATTTATAATACCCTTTGGTGAAGCTTTTACTAATTTCACTCATATTCTTCTGAATTTTCAAATGAAAGAAGCAGCTTCGCTATGTCTACTCTACTGACTCCAAATAGGTGATAGGTCAATACAAAGGCTGTTGCCAACAAACAAAGTGAATAGTCTTTACGGGTTTGTTAATATTGTTAGTAACACACACTTCAGTCACCTGTTCTTTCTTACCCTTGGTGGTGTCCATTCCTCCTACAGCGTAAAGTGCCCCAACTGTAGACTTTCGGGGCTTCGTCCTGGGGCTTTGCATCATGGGCCGTCTCTCTGGCAACAAGTGATACCTCATAGCTTCCATAAGAAGTTTTTGACAGTCCAGATCATCAGCAAACATTGGATTGTTTTCCAAGTCAGCCAAAAGCTATGAAGAAAAATTGAACTCATTGCTCACCATTTGTCCACATGACTCATTATTGCATTCCAAACAAGTGCTTCATTTTCAACAACAAAAGCAGAAATTGCTGGAAAAACTCAGCAGGCTTGGCAACATCTGTGGGGAGAAATCAGAGTTAGTGTTTCGGGTCGAGTGACCTTTCTTCAGAACTGGGTTCTGAGCTCTGAAGAAGGGTCACTCAATCTGAAACATTAACTCTGATTTCTCTGCACAGATGTTGCCAGACTTGCTGAGTTTTTCCAGCAATTTATGCTTTTGTTTCTGATTTACAGCTTCTGCAGTTCTTTTGCTTTTTATTAAGTCTTTCATTTTGTATTTGTAATGCTATTATGTAAAATACCCTGCAAAGAATCCAAGTATTATTGTGTAACTAATTACAAGTATTCTTTTTTGGAGGTGGCCAAGTTAGTTTTGGGACTGCAGCATCTAACTATGGTAAGTATACAGGGAAGTCCCCAGTTTATGATTGTCCAACTTATAAACGCTTATTCTTACAGACATAATCCCACACAGGGGTGTAATTTTAAAGATCAAACATATAAACATTTCATATACTTGCAGATGGTTTCTTTATATTTATCCTGTACTGTGTTCTGACTTGTGTACAAATCGACTTGTGTACTAATCGACTTGTGAGCAGACTCCAGCACAAAACCTGTTCGCAACCCAGGGACCACCTGTGGTGACCAGATTTTAACCTCAGTACTTTAGGCATGAGGCTAATAGTATCAGGCAGAAATTTGCTCACTACTGAAGTAGACCTGAGTGATTTTAAATCCTGCCAGCGGATTTCCCACCTCCTCGAGTTGGGAAGTCAGCTGGAAGTGGTGGAAAAGATCACATGGACGGTGGAATGGGCTTCAATTGCATCATATGCAGTGGAAAGGGGTGGGATGTGGGCAACATGACAGCAGGGGGCTGGATAAAAACTCCGCTCCTCCGGAAGATACAAATTTCACAAAAATCGTTTGTGCCTCTTCTGACATCATTCAGGCTGTCAAGTTAAAATGAACAATATCACTTGGTTCCCCTTCAAAAGTAGGCTAGAGCTGAGATAACAAGGTGTAAAGCTGGATGGACACAGCAGGCCAAGCAGCATCAGAGGAGCAGGAAGTCTGACGTTTTGGGCTGAGCTGGGTTTGTTCCAGAATCTTTACCAGCTATCCATTCAAGAAGGTTAATGTTGAGATTCAATTACTCCAAGGGACTTCAGAGTGAATAAGTAAAATGTCCAACCGTTCTGTTCCTATGGGGTAGATTAAATTATAATTGCCCTAGTGGTCTCATCAGAAACAAGTAAAGAATTAAGCACTGGCGTTGAGAGATTATTATCGGAACATAAGATTATTTCTTTAAAAGAAAGTTGATATTAAATTCATGCAGCAGTTAACTCATATTAAATACTGTATGGAGCAGTCTTTTGACCCAATTTTCTATTCATTTACCTGTGGAGATAGTAAAGGTAATCTGATGTAAGACAGGAGCATTGCAAGGTCCTGCTGTCTCTTCTGTAAATCGTGTTTCACCCACATCATCAAAGCTTGAAATATGGTCTCCTCATCGGGAACATTAATGTCATCACTAGCAAGGAGCTTCTCAATCTCACTGGCAGGGAGCAGAAGGAACTCCTGGTTCTTTATCACTTCCATGAAATGCTCCTGCATAGCAATTCAATGAAACAAAAATTGGTGACAAGCGAATGTTTTTGACATGAAATATTGATAAAGTCATAAGATTCCCTTTATCCTCATAAAATAAAACAGGAATGGCCACAACTTTCCTGTTTGAGCATAATGATAGGTTTTACTCAACAGTGCTTCAATTTCTTTACTGTTAATCCAAGATATTATCGATGTCCAGAGCTATAGCACAATGTGCCCTAAAATTATATCAGCGAACAATGCGACGCGTGACGAGTTCAATCACAATGGACTATATTGGCTAATAGCACTAAGCAGTGATTTAAAACTACCCAGAGAAACCCAGAGCAATATTTACTGCACAATGGAAGCTCTAAGGTGAAGTCAACACCAGTTTAATGATTCAGCATTTGAAATGAATTTTTGAGGGCAACAGAAAATTTATAGTAGGATTGGAAACACCCTACTCCAATTCTGTCTGTCAAGAAGAGCTGGAATTCCACAAGTATGGGACGTTTAAATGATAGGTTAAATCGGAAAAACATATGTTCTAGAAATTTTCAAGAACTGAAAAACAATTTCATAGAATCCCTACAGTGTGGAAACAGGCCCTTTGGCTCAACAGGTCCACACCAACCCTCAGAGCATCCCACCCAGACCCATCCCCCTGTAACCCACCTAATCTACACATCCCTGAACACTATGGACAATTTAGCGTGGCCAATCCACCTAACCTGCACATCTTTGGACTGTGGGAGGAAACCGGAGCACCAGGAGGAAACCCACGCAGACACGGGGAGAATGTGCAAACTCCACGCAGACAGTCGCCCAAAGGTAGAAACAAATCTGGGTCCCTGGTTCTGTGAGACAGCAGTGCTAACCACTGAGCTACTGTGCCACCCCCAAAACTGAAGAAAATTTTATGGAGGAGCCAAAAGTGCTTTTATGTGCAATAAAGACCTCCTTCAGATGGAAGAGAGTCTGCTTAGGCACACTTTTTTTTAGTACTCTTTCTACTGAACTGTGCTAACCAACAGGAGGAGTTAACCATGAGAGCGCTGAACAAATCAGCACACTGGCTTGGATACAGAGATTTCAGAAAGCAAAACTGCATTTATCAACCTGTGTGTGAGCTTCAGGGATTCACAAAAGGAATGGCCAGCATTACACTTGGCCTGTGATCAACTAGTTATTCATCTTCCTACTGTTTATACAATGTTGCTGACAGGGTATGGCTTCTAATTATCTAGTGAATAATTACTGTGCTGAGAAGCATATTGAGACATTTCAATATGATGGAAGTTCTGCATAAAGCCAAAAATTATAAACATAAATAATATTCTACACATTCCTCAGAAGCATCTGCTCTTGTTTCTCTGATTAAATAGCCAATCTGCCAATGCGCAGAAAAACATACACAAAGTAAAATATATGGAACAGGACTTCAATTTATTGGATTGGATTACAAACATTTATATGTCAGATCACTCTTGATAAATAAGAATTTTATACAGGTCTTAATCCTTAAGAATGTCTAGACATTAACCAATTGCTCTGCCATGTATTTGTCAACCAACATTGAAATAGTTTCGGATGCAGTTGACTTTCACTAGATTTGATGTAAAATGGTTAATAGCATTTTTGGATTTTACTAACCGGAGCACAAAACTCAGGAATGTAGAAATAATGATGCATTTCTGCTAAAAATTGATAGGGCCATAGTTGGAATGCAGTTTTATTCATCAGGGGTCACTGATGGCCATCATTGCTTGCCAATCATTGATTGCCTTTGGCAAGTTAGTGATGGTGAGCTGTTCTCTTGAACAACTGTAGTCTTGTGCTGTTGGGTAAGAAGTTCCAGGATTTTGACCTAATGACAATGAAAGAATGGAGAATTTAGAGGTAGCGAAGTTTGGGGATATTTGTTATCTCTTTTTTTTCAGATGGTAGAAGTATCAGCTGTGAAAGATGCTATCAAAGAAGTCTTAGTGAGTTGCTGCACTACATCTTGTTGATGATTCGCATGAATGTCACTGTGTGCCAGAGGTGGAGGGAATGAATGTTTAAGGTGATAAGGTTTTGATCAAGTGATATAGTATGTGCTAGATGGTGTTCCACTTCTTTGGTGTTATTATATGTTCATGCATCCAAGCAATTAGAGAGTATTCTATCATAATCTTGATTTGCACCTTATAGACAGTAGACAGGTTTTGAGGAGTCAGAACATGAGATATTTATCACAGAATTCCCATCGGCTTTTTGTAACTACTGTACTTATATAGCTGATCCAATTGACTTCCTGGTCTATACGCATCCTTAAGTAGTTGCTGGTGGGGCATTCAGTAATGGCATTGTCATCAAACGTCTAGGGGAGGTGTTTAGATGCTCTCTTGTTTGAGATTGTCATTGCCTGATAGTCTTTACTGAGACTGGTAAATTACAATTTAAATCATTACCAACAATTAGGTGGAAAACCTAAGCCACACAGGTACAAAAAGAGATCAGAAATAACAAGTATGGATTGTTTAAATTGTCATGTGCAGTTGAGGCTTGCCCAATTCATAGCTTTTAAAACACAAACTGGCAAGAGTTTGGAGTCTTCTAGAACTAACTTTTCTTTATAGGTATTGGGGTGCAAAAGATTGCTGCCAAGGCATCACACAACTCTTAGAGATAGTAGGAACTGCAGATGCTAGAGAATCTGAGATAACAAAGTGTAGAGCTGGATGAACACAGCAGGCCAAGCAGCATCGGGGAGCAGG